TGCATGTCCACTGATAAAAATAATTGTTCATTTTTTTCTGAGTAACGTGAGTTGTCGTTTGTCCCACTGTCAAACTCACTTATCTCAGGCCATTGGCCAAACTCAGCACGTAACACTGAAAAAATATTGACTAACTACGACCTAATAAACGAAGTCATGTCAAGGGAAAACTTTGCGTTCCAAAATCTTTGTCATTTAACCAACCCACAACCAGCGAGCACCCAGTAACCAAGCAACAACAAAGCGTATACAGGGTCATTCAGAATAAGGGAACACATTAGTTTTTTGTCTCAAGCCTGTATTTTTTATCGCATACTGGTAAAACAGGCACCAAAACATTCGCAAATCAATGCTATTTTGCTGGACATCAGCGGCTGACGTCAGAAAACTACAGCTGACCACCTATAGTACTTGTTCCAGGTGACCACCGTTTTCGCGAAGGCACAGCTCAGCTCTTTTACGAGCGCTTTCCATTACGGCGCGGCATGTTGCGACAGGGATTCGTCTCACCGCTTGTTCCACGGCTTTCTTGAGTTCGACGATGGTCTTGGGTCCATTTTTGTAAACTTCCGACTTCAGATGACCCCAAAGAAAAAAATCCGGTGGCGTTAAATCCGGAGAGTGAGGGGGCCACTCGATGCCGACCCCCTTTGCAATCAGGCGGTCCTGGAAATGGTCCTGGAGCCAGGCCTTGGTCTCTGTTGCACGGTGTGGTGGCGCACCATCTTGCTGGAACCACTGTACATTCAGCCGGTCCGGTGCGTGGCGATAGCGAGTGCGCAGACCATTCCAAAATCTTTGCAGGATCTTGCGGTACCGCGCCGCGTTGACTGTTGCGGCGTTACCATCGCTATCTTCCACCCAAATGGGGCCGGAAATGCCCTGCGCACTGATCGCGCACCACGCCGTGCATTTCTTACTGTGCAGCGGCCTCTCTGCTACCTCACTTGGTGCTTCAGTACCCCAGTAGCGGTAATTTTGGCTGTTAACACGCCCGTCCAAATGGAAGTGCGCTTCATCTGAGAACCAGATGTTCTCGATGAACCGACTTGAAGTGTGGCATTTCCTGCTAAACCAAGCACAGTAGCGTTTGCGACTTTTTTCATCACAGTCACGAAGTTTCTGATGGATACTTATCTTGTACGGACGCAACTTCAAGTCAGTGCGCGCAATTCGTTGTGCGGTGCTGTAGCTACAACGCAGCTGTTGGCTGAGCTGCTTTAGGGACGTTTTGGGGGCTGATGTCAAAATTTGTCGTGCCTTTTGGGCGGTTGCTGGGGTCCGTTTGGTGCGCTTGGCCCCGCATCTGCCCTTTTTGTTGTTTTCTAGGCTCCCAGTTGCCAAGAACTTCTCGGTCAGGCTCAGGATGGCCTTCCGAGAGGGTGCTTTTCTTGCCTGGAAACACTTCTTCCATTTCCGCTGGGTGAGAACGACTGATTTTGTTTTCAGGTAGAATTTGACGAGTTGTGTTCTTTGGTCTGGTGTGAATGGCAGCATCTTCAACACTTTTCACTGACCAGTCAAAACAAAATAGCATTTATTGATAAGCAAAAAATAAGCACGTGCGCATGCAGTATTTTTGCTGTTGCACTTCTATGAAGAAAACAAATGTGTGCCTTTATTCTGAATGACCCGGTACTAGTGCCAGGCATTACAGAAACCAAAGGGAAACAACTGTAAAACAATAGAAAAACCAATGCTTAACATACACTTAGCAATGCCACCAAAGGTACAACTAACAGTTGCGCATTCTACTAACCCACTATCATGTCTGTACAAGGTAGGAGACCGAGCAACTTATGATGTACAATATCTGTACCAAGTCAATACAGCGAGCTTACCAACCCAAATACCAGGTATTCACTAGCCTGGTACTAACCCCCTTCCCTCACCCCCCCCCCCTCCCACCCACTTCACATAGGTACGATATTCCGTTGCGCCTCTCGACCAAAGCTTTAAAAAGATAAGAGTTTGATTTTCAGGTCTTTATTAAAAAAAACGCCAAATAACATTTCCGAGCGAAATTTTTGCGCCTCTCGACCAAAGCTTTAAAAAGGTAAGTTTGATTTTCAGGTCATTTATTTAAAAAAAAACGCCAAATAACATTTCCGAGCGAATTTTTCCATGAACTCATTACACACGAATGACAGGAAATATTATCACACTAGTTTTCCACATCATGCCATCCATGCTACGCGGTCTGGCTCTATGCCAGAAAAAGAAACGCGGTCTTTGGACTATAGGAGCTGCAAACAACGCCACGCCGGCGGCTACCCGTACTTTGCCGGGCCGCCGCACCGGCGCCACCCTCCAGGGCCACGCTCACGGCGAGAAACAGACGGTGCCCGTAACACTACCTAGATGTGCTTCATGACTTCACCATGGAAGCGCTGGCTGACTCTGTCTTTGGACGCCTCATCTTCCGACGCCCACGACATGATACGACAGATACACTGTAAACCAAATCTACAAGTTGGCTCCTTGTTACCTCCTTGCTCGTGGGTGTCTCTTGATCTACTCACACAACTCAGGCGGTGATGGTAAGTCATTACCCGTACGTAACTAGGCATTTGCGTGTAACTCAGTTGGTACTAATGCGTTGCTCGGTGATAGGATGGCCAATTTCCAGCTGAAGGACTCTATTCGTCGCCGACAGCGGCCGTCGGAGCCCGCGCCATAAGCATCACGCGAAGTAGTGGCCGAGTGGCCGCTCTTACACGGTGTTCGGTGCAGGCAAGGCTATATATATAGGTGCAGGTATGAGATCCTCCCGGGCTCCGTAGATGCGAGAAGCAGTTTTCCACTAGATCCTGGTTTAAGTGTGACGTCATCACATGCTTTATCTCGGTCGTTGTAGTCAGGTCGGCATACTGGCCACGGAGGGATGCCATACTGCGCAGAACACCACGCTGGAAGGGCAGCATCTTCACGCCCACTGAACTCTATAACGTGGAAGGCGTATCGGCCGCCAGGTGGTGTCCAACGGTGCCGCCATGTTGCGCAGACCAGGAAGCGGCCGCCGCTTCATATTCGTAATGAAGAGCATGTTAAGTGTCCGTATACAAATTTTGACGGATATCGTAGGGCTCGCCCAAATGGTCTTAATTTGCGTAGTCTTCATTTGCAGTGTACCTACTTCATGTAAGTTTCACAGGTTCAGTACTGTTTGACTATTGACTCTGTAGGTACTTACTTTATTTTGATTGCATGCATGTGTCCGCATCCGATAATTTTGAAACGGCGGAACTTTGTATGTAGGTATGTCGCATGTCATGCCTGTCTTATCTTAAAATTCAAAACCCATTTTTCTCTGTAACCGTAACATTTTTTTATTGCGACCCGAAGAAGTCTTATGGCGAAATAAAGGTATTTTTCAAAGAATTTTGCATTTCAATTACCATTTGGAACTTAATATGAGCAAACGCTATTATATTTCAATGAAGAGAAGGTAATTCATTGCTGATAATAAATCGTTTAGCGGACTGACTGTAATTCATTGCCTTCTGCTCTACATCTCCTGCCACTAATAGAATTAACTTTCAGTAGAAAAAGACACATCAGGTATTCTATTTTTTACTTATAAGTGTTTTTTGGCAGTGAAGGGTGCAGATAAAAAAAACAATAATTGAACCAATTTTGCTAGTATAGTATACAGTTAGGTCGATATTGAAATGTGTGGTCCTTAAAAAGTCATTAACCCGCGCACCGACGGGGGGGGGGGGGCGGATATCCGCCCCCTGAGGTTTTTCGTAGATAGCGGGAAAACCGCGGTGCGAAACTTGGTACGACTATTCTCTCATCAATTTTACACATGGTGTGCAAGTTTGAACCTCCTAACTTTTAAGGTCAGGTCACCAGGTCACTTTGAATGACCCAACCTCAAGTCACTTTTTTGCAACTTTGTCGCCGTGCCAGAGCTACAGTAGATGTTGGAGGCCTTGGAAAGTCGCAGGATGTTATAAGGTCATTAGTAGCTACAAATCGTATATCTCGGAATTTTGATATCGATGACCTAAGGTCAGGTCAATTTCTCGACCTCCCCATTACAAGTCAATGGGGGAAAAATCAACTCCCTGTTTGTTCCACTAAAACGGGTCGGAATGCCCCATAAACCATACATGACTTCATATACGATCAACCTTCACTACCTTGAGGTCTATTTTACTGTTGGGCAGCTGTAAGGTCATGTGACGTCATCAAAGGTCACCAAGGGTTTTTTGCCAATAACTCCGTACAGGAACAAGATACAGCCGCGCGGATGGTCTCATTGTGTTCAGCTCGGTAAGGCGCATCGAATGATATGCATGATGACCTCGAGGTCACGTGACCCGAGGTCAACCTTTGACCTTGACCTTTCGAGGTCAACATATATATCATTCGATGCGGATTGACGAGAGGATCACGATGATGCCCTTAGTTTGCTCTATCTTGACGAGTTCGAAAGATATTCGAGAAAAACTCTCCATATCTAGCGCGGCCATTTTGACTTTTCTGACCCCTGTGACGTCATCTTTGACCTGACCTGAAAATGACCTTAGTAAAAATTGTAGACCTTGTCCGTGCGTACCCCATGCCGTTTACCGCTTGTCGCTATCTTGCTTCGTTCTCGAGATCTCAGGGGGGGGGGGGCGGTCATCCGACCGCCGCGCCGGCGGTGCGCGGGTTAAAAAGTACACCATTTTACACCATGTCTCCAAGCTGTCATGGGCACCAGAATCTGTATCTGAAATGGTTCCAGCCGACATCTGGTTACCTGGCTGCTATCGTTTTCAAGCAAGTTCTGGTTTTCTAGAATCTCATGATTGCTTACCGCCCTTCAAGGTCTTCTGAAGGCTATCACAAGTTCCTGGCCGCTCTTGGTTACATGGCGTTTGCTGGTTCTGGGTTCTTTATTGGTGGTTCTTACGTCCGATTCTCTGTTGGTTTGTGTTTCATCACATTGCAATACAAGTTGTATGAAAAAGACGCTTTTAAATGGCCCCTTTACAATGAAATACCGATTAATGACATAATGCAATAATTATTGATGATTCGAGTCGACCACCGGTCATTATCAAAATAAGCCAGTCAGAACTGTACATCTAAAAAGCGTTTTATTAATGTACATGTGCCATGATGGTACTATCGATGGTACAACGATAGAATTGCCATCGAGATCAACCTCATGCTCAGCATTATCTTTATATAAAAGTGTGCCCTGAGTCAATCTCATTCTCAGCATCATCCGAGCCTGAAGATGTTTTTCATGTCAGCGTACAACGCAAGCCATGGAAACATCTGAAAATCTTTACAGACATTGCTAGTTGCTACCACAGCGTGCCAATCTTTCACTGGTATCAAGTCTTCGAAAAATAAAAGCTCAAGTCTCCCCGTACCAGCGAGATCCCCACACACTCAGAGACGTCCTCAATACTGGTGAGCCTTCTGTTTGCGTTCTCTGATGCCCTCAGTACTGGTGAGCCTTCTGTTTGCGTTCTCTGATGCCCTCAGCACTGGTGAGCCTTCTGGTTGCGTTCTCTGATGCCCTCAGAACTGGTGAGCCTTCTGTTTCCGTTCTCTGATGCCCTCAGTACTGGTGAGCCTTCTGTTTGCGTTCTCTGATGCCCTTCTGGTGAGCCTTCTGTTTGCGTTCTCTGATGCCCTCAGTACCGGTGAGCCTTCTGTTTGCGTTCTCTGATGCCCTCAGTACTGGTGAGCCTTCTGTTTGCGTTCTCTGATGCCCTCAGTACTGGTGAGCCTTCTGTTTGTGTTCTCTGATGAGTTCGGCGATTTTCCCGGCAGTGTATCCGACTGAAGCGATGACGGCTGCCGCGCCGAACAGCACCAGAGCGGCCTGCCCGCAGGGTGTGGCGGCAGCTGCCGTCAGCAGGGGAGTGGCTGACCGGAGCGTACTCATGGCCGTCGGATTCATGACCACCCTGAAAGGGAATAGGCGTCAGTCGTCTGCCGCAGGTACGCATGGAAACCGGGGCGCGGGGTTCGGGCCCCCCTCCCCCCTAACTTGAACCCTGGGGGTCGGAGCACCGCCCCTCCCAACTTCATTGAAGAAGAAATGCGGTGATACCAAGGGGCGCACCGTAAAAGGGCACATAAATGATTTTGTTTTTCTTTAAAACGCAACCGCCGTTGATGCACGTGTTTTTATCTGTGATTCTGTAATATCTGAGAACTTCGACGGGGGTCTTTAGGATCGTCGGGCTCCCTGAACCCAGGGAGAGGGCACGTGCCCTCTATGCTATCTTATATCTACCCTTGGCGCGCCACTAACCTTAACCCTCGCCCGCACATGGGGGGGGGGGGGCAGTGGCGCAGCCAGGGGGGGTGAAAGGGGTGAGATCTCACCCCCGTCTCTTATCCTAGGGGCCCACCGTCGATTCGAACTGTAACGTTATGCAGCCTGACAATTTTTTATCACTAATGTCAAGGTCCGTCATAGGACTGAAAAACAGTTTTCAGGCCTGATAGCCCCCCTTTAGGATTTATAGTCCCATTTTATGATTTAAGGGGGTGCATCCAAGGCCTAGGAGGGCCCGTTCCATGGCATGAGAGGGCCACTTCAGGCCTGAGAGGGCCCATTTCAGGTCTGTGAGGGCCCATTTCAGGCCTGAAGGGGCCCAGTTGAAGCTTGAGAGGGCCCATTTCAGGCCCTAGAGGGGCTGTTTGAGGCTTGAGAGGGGCCCATTTCAGGCCTGAGAGGGCCCATTTGATGCCTGTGAGGGCCCATTTCAGGCCTGAAGGGGTCCATTTCAGGCCCTGGCATGTTTGAGGCCTGATAGGGCCCATTTCATGCCTGAGAGGGGCCCATTTCAGGTCTGAGAGGGGCCATTTCAGGCCTGAGGGGGCCCATTTCAAGCTTGAAAGGGCCCATTTCATGCCCTAGAGGGCCTGTTTGAGGCCAGAGAGGGCCCGTTTGAGGCCAGAGAGGGCCCGTTTGAGGCCTGAGAGGGGCCCATTTCAGGCATAAGAGGCACCATTTCAGACCTGAGATGGCCCAGTTACGGTATGAGGGGCCCTTTTTTGGACATGATAGGGACCATTTCCGGGCTGAGCGGGGCCATTTCAGGTCTGAGGGGGCCCATTTCAGGTCTGAGAGGGCCAATTTCAGATCTGAGAGGGCTAATGTCAGGCCTGAGAGGGCCCATTTCAGGCCCTAGAGGACCTATTTGAGGCCTGAGAGGGTCCACTTCAGCCCTGAGAGGGGCCCATTTCAGGTCTGAGAGGGCCCAGTTCAGGCCTGAGAAGACTCATCCCAGGAATGAAATGATCATCCTATGTGTGGGAGGGTCCGTACTCCGTGCCTGGTCTGGGTCTGAGAGGCCCTATCCCAATCCTGATTGAGCCGATATCATGTTTGATATAGGTCAACTCACCACATGTATATTGATGTCCCAGTTCATGTCTAATGGGCCCATCTCAAGACTCAAAGATTTTATGCTTCAGGAACTAGGAAGCAAGCATACCCAAGCGTGAGGGGGCCCATAGAGGTTTTTGAGGCTCATGGAGGTCCCGCAGCACGATATGTCAGCCTCTGAGAAGGCCATGCAGGGCCCTTAAGATGCCAAGCCGACATCTGAAAATTCCTCTTCTCTTCAGGCCTGTGCCTGCCTCACCGCCCGGCCCCACCCTGACGTCTAGGGGTTTGGCGCCTAGGTATTCATCAGGACTCCACACCGGTCCATGATGGCTCCAAACTGACATCTGAGGCTCCTGCACCCAAGGCCATCTATAGAAGGTACAGTCACTCCCCCGCCGACCAATCAGAGACAGATCCTGAGTGACGTCACCCCTGATGCTCGCAAGGGGTACTCCATTCCTTTCAACGTAAAAATGACTAATTTCATTTGAAGATTATTGATGGAACTCTACACATACCGCTCAGCCGTTGATGTCAATGGAAAGCCCAACTAATTTTCCAGCGACAAAAAAGAGCAGCAATATGCTAAGAAATGGCCGGTTTTGAAGATATAGACGATTTAAAAACCCTCTGCAGCAGCAAGAAAGCAACGTAAAAACGCATCGAGCTTATATTTTTACTATGGATAATTCATTTTTCAGTAAGTTTTTAGATATGGTATATATTTGAATTACAACTTTATTACAATATTTTCATTACTTGAAACTTTATTTCAAAATAATATTTTCAAAAATGGCAGCTGTTGGCCAGTAGCTTGGGAGCGATTGTGGCGCACCGCGCCATTAATTGTCCTGAGGCCCCCTTATGATGTCATCAAAAGTGGAGTGACATGGGCCTGCCTGCACCGGCTTTTGAGGGGCCGGTGCAGCCACCACTGATACCTGCAGACCTCTGATAGCCACCACGCAGGTCTCAAAAGACCATGTCGATTGTTGATAGCTAACCCCCCAAGTCTCGGAAGGCCTGTGCTCTATGCAGATTCTTGAGGGCTTTACGTGGGCTTGTAAACATCCCGAGCTGGCTCTAGCCTAGCTCGACCGCGCCCCGCAGAGCAGGGCCCCAGGCTTTCCAGTTTTACGCCCCTGAGGGGTGTTTGAATATTCCCTTCTAACCTGACTCCAGGGTCACGTAGCGACAAGTGCGGCGGTAGGCGGCTTTCTAAAGAGCGTCGAAAATCATGGAGAAATTACTTCAGTCATGTTGCAGTTCAGACCAAAGCCCACGTCATCATGTTCATCGAAGGAAAAGTTTCGCCTATTTCGACACTCGAGGACATATAAAGCTATAGCGCGCTGCAAGTGGGTTCGATAGCTCTCTAACGCGTGCAATCAGCCATGGGCGGGGGGGGGGGGGGGGCGTATCGGCCAAACCCGTCGACCCGATCATAATTTAAGAAGGCTAGAAAGACGAGAAAAGCAACAGATAGCTGTAGGATGCTTCAGAATCGTAGAGGTCATTTTTCGATTAGGTCATCGCTGAGGTCATCGAAGATAAAATTATGATAAAATTATGATAAACACAAAGACAAGATTACGATGAAAAAAATTCTAGTTTTTATATTTTCACAAATAACCGTATAACTCGTGAACCAAAGAGCTAGAGCTTCGCGGAACAACTCATTCGATAGGCCTTTCAAAACGCTGTCGCTTTTAAGATTTGACCTCAATGCCTCATGACAATGGTTTGGCTACAGAGCAGAGGGCAAAACCATCTAAATAGTCGCATTTTACCAAAATAGTTTTGCTAAAAACTTTTGCAAGAACTTTGGTGAGAAAAATTATGAGACATTTACTTTGTCATCATTCTCTCGTTAACATGCATCGAATGTTAACACCTATAATTTCACATAAAAAGTTCAACTTCAAAATGTGACCGCAGATCAAGGTCATGCCCTTACCTACTTGAGAAGTTCATGATGGTCATCAACTCATCCGTATGTATGATCTAACACCTTCAAGACAATTTCATTACTCTACCTCGAAAAGTAATAGTCGAAAAACTGATGTTGAGCTTTTTTAAAAGCTTTTTGACCTAGCCCGCCCATTTGAGTGGCCGCTGGCCATCAATTGCACGCTGTCCGTCAAATATGGGCAGAATGGTCGTGTTTCTGTAATTATGCTGTTGTTTTTTACGTGCCTCTTCAGATCAAGAGATATTTGTCCTTTTCCCCGATTTGGCTGGTAATGATCAGGACAATGATCTGAACTTTCGTTGTTGGTAAGGGGCCCCCATTAGGTTGAGGGGGGGGGCCCACTTTGCTGGGGGGCCCATCGCGAACGTCTCTCACCCCCGTCGCCAGAGTTCTGGCTGCGCCACTGGGGGGGGGGGGGTTGCCACCCCCCCAGGTAGTCTTTCTGCTCTGCACTCAGCATTTTTAGAGCTAGAAGGCTGATTTTTCGTATAGCTGCTCCTCTATCCTTTCTTGATGTCCACTGAAAATTTCAAGTTTCTGTGATTTTCGGTTTCGGAGATATGACCTTGCTTTTCAGGTCATGTCAGGACCCAAATGGCCAATTCTCAACATCTTGCGTTTGCCATGGGCCTTATGAGCTTTTGACACCCTGATTTCGGCCTTTTTTGCCAGTCTTACCTCCCACCTATCATGGAACATGTTGTTCGACGATGTACAGGGGTCAAGGTTAGGGTCAAGGTCAACCTAGGTCATCTAAGATAATTGCGTTTTAGGCAAGCTGAATTTCCTTTTTTTGAAGTTTTTTGACTGCATTTTTGGTAAAAGCTTCTCAGATCATGATTTCATGCAATATGGACCCAAAAACAATCGGTGCACACATCAGTATACACACAGACACACACAGACATACAAACACATATAGTTGACTTTGACCTAACTTGACCTGAAATGACCTCAGCAGCAAAATTCTGGTCGGGTAGTGTGACAAAGAGGTTCTAGCTGGCTTGGCACCAGAAAACAGCATCGTCATCGGTATTTGATACGCAGCACACTTGATATCCAACGGTGACCCAAAACAGCAACATTTTTTAGTTTGACCTGACCTGGAAGGTCAATGACTGACCTGAGAAGGTAAAACTGGGTATCATTGGATTCGTCTCTTCCCAAAGAATTTTTTTTTGTCTTTACTGCTAAGCTCTATCTCCAACAGGAACGAAATGGCGCGGGGGGGGGTGGCAACCACCCCCCCATGTGCGTTCTAGGATGGGAAAATGGCATGTGCGGGCGAGGGTTAAGCGCCTCATTTAAACCCTCGTCCGTATAGGGGGGGGGGGGGGTCGAACGGACCCCTCGGTTTTTCGCGTATAACTCGCGTAAAAAGCGGCCGATCGCAACAAGTTACACCTACCCTGAAAATTTCATGACCCTGAACCAAATGACCTTTGACCTATGACCTGCTTTTCGAGACCATGCTTGGCCGGAATCGCGATTCGGCGTATGCCGGCTCGCATTAGCCGCGCGTTTGCTGTCTTTTCGTGGTTCCAAGCGTTCAAACATGATAGGTATATGATGTTGCTACTTGCTCCCATGCATTAGGGTGGGTGTCAAGGTCACCTGAAGGTCAGATCAGTTCATTTATCCGTGATGACCTCGGTTCACTTTTTCGAGTTTTACATGTTTCTAAGCTAGTTTCTTTGAGCTGAATTCGAATTTAGCAACCATTAGAACATTAACGAAGTAGTTTTGGTGCCTTCGTCACATGTAACGAAGCTGTCAGAGGCTGGTGATACCTACTACGAATACCCGGCAATACCCCTACTAGTTGACCTGACCTGACCCGACCTGGTCTAAATGCATGAAGACATCATCTGTGGTCAAAACTCAAAATTAACATGCTATTCGTGATCAGCATCCCGAAAAACTCTATAACAGCCACACTTCACGACATTCTAACAGGTTCCGATTTCCCCGACTTTTTGGGTCATTGACCTGACCTGGAAGGTTAACCAAGACCTAGGACCTTAAAATTGGGTATCATCGGCTTCCTCTCGTCACGGGCATCACATTAGTTTTTTTTTTACGAAGCTCTAGCTCGATCAGGGGCGAAACGGCAAGGGGGTCCAATGGACCCCCCCCCCATACGTTTGCAGCCGGCAAAACACCAATACGGGCCAGGGTTAAGAAACATTGATCCACAAAACGTTTAGGTGTCGACTCTTTGTCTCATGCGAGGTTTAGTCCCCCCTCTCAACACTTTGAGACGTTTCCCGCGTCCCCTATGTTTGGAAAGAAGACAATTAAGTTACGGGTGAAGCCATGAAGCTTAGACTCACCTGCTTTCTGCCGAATGGGTGGAGAAGCAGCGTTGGGTGTTGTTCAGTCCGCTGACCTTGGTCCCTGAGCCGTCCACCAGTCGCCCGTGCAGGATGCGGCGTGCACTCTCCGCCAGTGACTCAACCACATATTGCAGAGGGCTCCACAGTCGCTGACGTCAGCGGGTGCGCTGGTGACTCATTGCAGAGCTGCAGATGTTTGTGCAAAGCGGACCGCGGCAGTGTACCGCCTCGCCACGGACCCAGAATGAGAGGGAAGGGACTCACAAACAGGCTCATACATCACATAATATCTGTCCAGTGTCCAATCTATGGCGTGAAAATCGACTATGTATTTTACGGTTGTCAGATGCCCAAATCTTGGTATGATACACCATTGCTACCCATTACACCATTACATTACATTTTTATTGAACATTCTCTTAGTTCAAAATCTCCAGTTTGTCAATGTTACACGAAAAATGTTGCATGGACTCCATGTTGCATATCTGCATGTTTGTATAGAGTTTCGTGCTCTACTTGCCCCTGATTTGAAGCTGGACACATCCGCTATCCAGCGCTGTCGAACTGGAGAAAACTCGCTACTCTAACGCGCGGTAATTCCCCGCCTTTTCCCCCGTCAGCGATAGTGAACATTTATGCACGGGCTGCAAGTGCAACTTGGATGTTGCCGAACCCATCGCGTTTCTACCATATGCCCCAGTCAAGGAGAGGGCGGGCATAACAGTCCCATGCATCGTTCCACTCATAACTACAAAGGGCTTCGTAAAGCAATCGTACCGGTTGCCAGTCACTAGGTATACGCAACAAATTGGCACACAGTTTTAGCCTGTGCCCATTTCGAGCTCTCAGTCTACTTCGCTATGGAGTGGTGGAAGAGTTCGTAGAAGGTCATACATGATTATTTCGAAAACTGAGAAAGCTTAACCCGCGCCCCGCTGAGCTATTCAGCCATACGCGCCCTGCTGGGGGGGGGGGGGGGGGGGGGGGCAGATTCTGCCCCCTGTCTAACTTCCGAACCGATGGTCGTAGAAAGACGAGGAAAACGGCAATCGAAAGCTCTCAACAAGGCGGATCTTAAGAGACCATTTTTTTGCTTAAGTAGGTCAGAGGTCAGGTCAAGGGTACAAAATGCAAGTTTCTACAGTATCGGCCTTGCACCGTAGTTGCCGAAGAATGGACTGAGACTGATTGCCCAAAACGTGTCCTTAGGCTACCAAGACAATATTCGTTGCATAAAATATCATGCAAAGGTCAAGGTCAAGGTCAGGTCACGTCACCAAAAACGAAATATAGAAAAGGGCATGTGCGACACATGTTTATGGGTCATTTTATTCATAGAATTCAATAGGCACACTTAATAAGTGATGTGGACCACATCTGGATGAATTTCAGGTCGAGGTCAGGTCAAGGTCAGGTCAAGTGAGGTCAAATTTGAAGTTTGTTGTTAAGGCCTAAAAAGGTGTCTATCAGATGCAGTTTTTCACGGCGAATCGAATGGTGCTATTTTTGTTTCCGTACGAGGTCTAGAATTTCCAAAAAAACATTTTTTTCAATAATTTTGTGTGTCGTGAGTCGTGACGTCATAAAATTTTGAATAACTCCCACATTTTTGAACCGATTCTTCTAAAAATTGGTATGTAGGTGCACATAGACGAGTTCTCTGACAGATATTCCGTTTTTTATACACTCAAAATTTTGGATTGTATAATTAATTTCACAAAAAAGTCAGTTTTTTGAAGAAAAAAATTGGGCCAAAATCCAAAATTTTCAAAAAAACCGAGATAGCCATTTGATAGACAAAGTAGAATCACGTATAACCTTTTTGTTACATCTTGATTCCTTTAAAAAAATGAAGATGTTAGCGGCGTTTGAAAGTTTGCCGTTTTTGAGGCGAAAATTGCGAACATGACGTCACTAAAATGTCATTTTCCTCAAACATTTTCTGACGGGTTTCGCTCAAATTTTCAGGGAACGTGTCAAATTGATGTATGATAAGGTACTGAAAGTTTGACGTCGCTGGCGTAACGCGTTTAGAAGTTATTAGCGAAAAACGGGAGGGGCAGATTCTGCCCTCCCCCAGCGGGGCGCGGGTTGACACGGAAAAACGACCAATAAATAGCTGTCAACGGTTGCATGGCAGCTCATCAAAGCTCTTTCGCTAACATGTCATAAATAATCTAAGAGCAACGGTTTTTGTTGATTTTTTTTTGTATAAATTTTTCATTGTCATTCGGGGACAGTGTCCCGGGCACACCTCCGTTTCATATATTTCACTCCTAACTCCTGCTAGTGAATATAAAATCATGTATATGATTTCAGATTTGTCGTTTTATTGGCAAAAGAAGCACAGCTGCAAGACAAAAATAGCCTAAACGACACCCGGACAAAAGCGACACGTTCCGATGGTTCCATCACATGTTTCTCGGGTAGACAGTGATCTGCAGCGCACATCCCGGAGACTAAGACGTACCCGAGAGTCCAACCATCGGTGGGAGTGTATCTCCGCAACGGCGTCCACCAGAGACCTCGTCGAAAATAAATCTCACCCAATCCATCGACCATTACCTTCCAGACCAGTCTTGCTAACTGCAAGCTGGCGTTTCATCTCTCGATCGCCGTCATAATATATGGACTAAAACTGCGCAAGGTCTCGCCACTCAAACCATCACAATCATCCACTCGCCCGGTGGCGCATTTTAAGGTCGTTACACGCTGCTTTATTTTCTTTTGTCTAAGTGTCCAT